AATCAACGTATGCATCACTATAAAAATGCTGGGTGAAAAAGTATTTAAGCAACTTATTAGCTTATATAAATTTAAGTGGATTTATAGTAAAACAATTAAGTAAAAGAAAATAAGACTTGTGTTTTTCAGCTCGTTTTAAAAAAGTTGTTTAAACAACAAACAAATGTGATTAATACTATATAATGTTTTGTATATAATGCCAGTTTTTCGTTTAGTCACATTTATGTGATTGATTTGTTGACAAAAACAAACTGCCAATAATACAGCATCAATTTCTTTTTTAAGCGAATATTGTTTTTGTTTATGGATTACTTGAGGCAAACATAGAAACAAAAGCAACATGTTTTAATATGACAGGGACGCACTTTAAGAAAGGATTTTAATTAACAATTTCCTCCAACCCAAGCTCATCCTGAAAACGTACCTTTATATACATTTCTGGAGACCGCCAAATACGTCCCAGAAGCTACGTTTTTTTTTTTTTGCAGTTTTTGTTTTCGTGAATCCCCCCTCAACGCGAAAGTGAAAAAGAAAGTGACCGGTTTGCTGATAAAAGCGAGGACCATGAGGGAGAGGGTGTGTGTAGAGGATGAAAGTAAAGACAGAGGCTTTGCTCACTATTCTGCTGCCCAAGGCAGCCACCTATGTTGCCTCTATGCGCGCGCCGTCCCTGAACACACGTCGGCCACAACAGAAAAAAAAAAACTGCAACTGCGTTATTTGTGTTATTTTTTAAAAACGTGTTAAATAATTAAAATTAATCACGTGCTTTAACATGCTAATTTTGACAGTCCAGTTGAAGTCAGAACTCTTAGCCCGCTTCGAATTTTTTTCCTTCTTTTTAAAATATTTTCCAAATGATGCTTGACAGAGCAAGGACATTTTCACAGTATGTCTGATAATATTTTTCTTCTGGAGAAAGTCTTATTTGTTTTATTTCGGCTAGAATAAAAGCAGTTTTAAATTTTTTGAACACCATTTTAGGGACAAAATTATTAGCCCCTTTAACCTATATTTTTTCTTGATAGTCTGCAGAACAAACCATTGTTATACAATAACTTGCCTATTTACCCTAACCTGCCTAGTTAACCTAATTAACCTAGTTAAGCCTTTAAATGTCACTTTAAGCTGTATAGAAGTGTCTTGAAAATTTTCTAGTAATATATTATTTACTGTCCTCATAGTAAAGATAAAATGAATCCATCATTAAACAGAAATTGGAGAAAAATAAACAAGTGGTCTAATAATTCTGACTTCAACTATATATATATATATATATATATATATATATATATATATATATATATATATATATATATATATATATATATATATATATATATATATATATATATATATATATATATATATTTTTATTTTTTTATTTTTTTTTTATTTTTTTTTTTTTTATTTTTTTAATATATATATATATATATAGATATATATATATATATATATATATATATATAAATATAAAAAAAAAAAATAAAAAAAAA